AACAGAGTAAAACATTGTAACATTCATCTTTATGCAGATGACACTGTGCTATATTTTTCCGATAAAAATGTCTGTAATATTCAAAGAATCCTAAATATCGATTTAAACAATGTTCACAATTGGCTATGTCAGAACAAACTTAGCCTTAATGTTGAGAAAACTATTAGCATGTTATTTGGATCAAGTTATATGTTATCAAAATATAATATTTTTAATGTTCAAATTTCTGGCAAAGCTATTACACAGAAAAACGTGGTTAAATACCTTGGTATGCAGCTCGATCCTCGTTTAAAATGGGATATTCATATTGATGAAATGTGTAAGAAAATTGGAAAAACAGTTAACTATCTTGCCCGACTCCGCCATTGTTTACCTCAAACTCAATTAAAGTTAGTTTACAATTCAATAATTTTACCCCTGTTTGATTATGCTGATATTGTTTATGATTCCGCTAGCAAGAAACATGTTGACCGACTCCAAAAATTACAAAATAGAGCAGGTCGAATCATTTTAAGTGTAAACCCCTATGATCATATTTCTAACAACGAAATTCACGGAAGATTGGGGTGGTCCTTATTACAATCTAGACGAAAGTCACACCTGCTCACGATGGTGTACAAATCATTACACAATCTTGCCCCTTCTTATTTGAAGGATCGTTTTAATTATAATAATTATTTATACGGGTTGAGATCCCGGGGAAATTTAGCTCTACCCAAACCGAATTCCGAGAGCTGTCGGAGAATGTTTTTATATAGAGGCTCGTGAGAATTTAACCGCTTACCTAACAATATTAAACTCTCCAACAGCTTAAGTGTTTTTTTGCAAAGAACTATCTGCCATTCATTGATCTTGCCTAGACTTTCAGTGGTATTATGCCTTGCCAGAAGTTACACTTAGCTGTGGGGGGGGGGGGGGGGGGGACACATTACTAGTAATTAGGGTAGACATGTATTTAAGTTCTACTTGTGTATGTAAACATAATTGTGTAAATCAAGCTGCTGTTTGAAACTATTGATGCTTTTTCTTTCGTGTAGCCCGAAAGTGTATGGTATTTTTTGCCTCGTCTTTCTTTCTACTGCACGATGGCTGAATGCTCAAATTTGTGGGTTTGTTTTGCTTGGTACGCGGCAATACACCGTTTTCCTCTTGTGGTCAAGTTTACTCATGCCTGCCCTAGGACAAGCTATGTAATCACCTGATAGCGAGCGGCCGCATCACAATGGTCGGAATGCGAATTGCATTCATTTGCGTTGCTAGCTGGGATAAGCTTTTTAACTTGTCCCGGCTGGCAACAAGCACTGCGTACCTTCTATTGGGGTGCGATAGTTTGTTGTCAGGTGTGCGTATGGCATTTTTAATTAGCGTTTGATGATGGCGTGTGTATAAATTTTGGCCTCATAGGGAAAATCGTTTATTGACGTTTATAGTTGAGGATCGATTGTCGGATAGAGAATTAGACAACACAGTGGGCGGGTCTCTCGCGTGGGGTTTGGAATTACATGGTGTTATGCTCGGCGCGTCCGGGATCCGTGAATAATACCCCATTCACAGTGGTTTTGAAATTTGTAGCGGCGTTGTAGCGGAGCGGCGACACCGCCATAACACCGCTACAAATGCATTCACAGTAGAAAAGTTATCCCGCTGCAGCAGCGGGATAAATATCATGTACCCATTCACGCTGCAGCGGGTGATTTTTATTACCTCCGTAACAAACACGTGTATGCATGGCTCATGACCCGCGAGTGACCCCGATATGACCGGAAATACTTGCTTGAAATTGCGCGGTAAACATGTCAAGTTGCTTTTTGTATCCTCGATCATATTACTTTTTAAAAAACTAGCATTTTTATTGCTTCCAGCAGAATATTTTAATTTTTTGAAGTGTGAAATATTTGTATTTGGATAATTATAATACCTACATAATAATAAAATCAATTTGAATCCACTGGTTACTTTATTTCTATTTCACTTTATGTTCCCCATTGCTGTAGAAAAGAGGTCAGTGATAGGTAAGTAAACAAATCACACGTGTTTGTCGCGGTGTTATAGCGGAGAGCCTTCACACTGAGTAAACACCGCGACAGCAGCGGGACAGTCCCGCTGCTGTCGCGGTGTTTGAGGCCACTGTGAATGGGGTATAAGGTAGCATATTTTGTACTTGTTCATTCACCTATTCAATTGCTTTGATTTCTTTCCCCGGACGCGCAAGGCGTTACATGTGCCTTCCACACGCTTTGCAAGAGAGTTCTTCTCCATTTCTCTTTCTCCCTTTCTCTCTCTCTCTCTCTCTCTCTCTCTATCTCTCTGTCTTGCAGTCGTTCCTCTTACTGATTCGCGCATAGCGGGTTAATTATCCGCAAATCTCAGCAATTGTAAATGTATAGCCTTTTCTTGCTTTTAATTGTTTTGTTTCATTGGTTAACACGAAAGAGGACATGCAAGTGTTATACTCAGCAGCTTGTGCATTATTTTTAAAATTTCTATTTACGTAATGTTTCTTTTAATTGTACCTGGACCCCCAGGAAGAACAGTGTCATATATTTTTATGACACTGAACGGGCAATCCAGCCAATCATTTTTAAGCAATCTATATACACATGTAATTTATTTTTTTTAATTCTGTTATGTTTAATTTCGTTTTATGTCATATGTTATTTGTCTTTTTAATATGATTGGAAAATAAATACAATACAATCAGTTGAAGTATAAATAATAAACTAAACTACACAGGTCTTGTTCAGACGGGGTTTTGCTATTCGGCGTACGTTAATCCCTGCAGCAGTAAATTCTCATGAATATTTCACTTACACCATATGGAATACTGAAGCTGTGACATCATACCAATCTACGTTTAGAATTTCTCCATGTTTTCTTTTTTTTCCGAAAGAGCATCAAAAATATTGTCCAAATGTCGAAAAACCAATTGGCTGAGATATGACCATCCGAATACACAAATTTCCCAAATAGGAACTCAGTGTTATTTTCCTCTGGTTCGAATTACAAACAAGAGCAAAATAATACTGAGCTCCAATAGGACGCACATAAACCTATCTGTCGACAAATACCTGTCGACAAACCTCCTTTGTGAATTCGGGCCATTATGGCGACTTCTGCTTTGTTAGGCAAACACAAAACAAAAGAATATAGGCCACGTTGTGACCCAGTGAAACCAAGTTGGCCAAAGTCTGTGTTTAGATGGCTCGTGAAAAGTCACACATATACTCCCGGGTGTAAGCGAGAGCATCCACACGGACAACTTACGCTACCCTCTACTCGTGTTAGCGAGTTACTCGTGGATTATGTCCAGGAGTAAATAGGTCAGGGGTAAAGGTAGGCGTGGTTAACACGACCATCGTCCGGACTTTCACTACTCCGACCTTAACACCTACCTTACCATATTGACCCTGACTAGCTCTTAGCACGACCTTAACCCCAGGTTGACTTGCCTCCATCTAAACTAGACTAGTATCTGTTTGATTCGGCTCAAATCAATCTTTCTCTTTATGTCATTACATGTGTGTGTATTGTTTGTATGTTATTTCATCTCTTTGCACTAATGGTGTTCCTTGAGTATTCGCTATTCAACTCATTTTAAGATTCTCACTGCAATAATATTTGAGAATTGCATACATGGCCATTTAACCTTATTGCATGTACCCTAAGTGCACGTGGCGCATCCTCCCCTCTCTTTTTCACCTATTATTTGACCGATGCCCCCTCATTGGCTGGACCTATGCTATACAAGTGCAATCATTTTAAATCATTATAATTATCTGTCATTAGTTGTCTCTTTCTGCTCTCTCTCTCTCTCTCTCTCTCCTTCTCTCTCTCTCTTTTCCTATCGATTCCTTTCTTCCCATCTTTCTCTCTCCCGCTCTCCACTTCTCTCTCTGTCTTCCTCTCTATCCCCCCTCCCTTGTTATCGCTTCCTTTCACACTATCCATGTCAATACCCCTATCCCCTCTTAAAGGTACTATGTCCCATTTGTAGGCCAACGATTGTAGGCCAAGATGAAAAGGTTGAATTCCAACGGCAATTGAAAGATAATACTAAATTAGAACTCCCCTTAAAAAAAGAGGGCTTGAAATGTCTTTAAGTGGGAAAATAACGACTATCAGTTGCCAAATCGACTTAGGAGCTATAGAGCCAATGAGTAATAGTCTTGATTTTCAGACCATTGTACCGCATGGTCGTACGTTTTATGCTGCGCAAAGATTCAATCAGTTTAATTTTGGCCTTTACAAGAAGTAGGTTATTGATGTAGACAAATCCTTTACAGCTCTTTTTATGTATGTTATTACCAAAGAAGAAAAAAAGCCAGTCACTCACTCCATACTAACAATAGTGTCTGACAGTGAAGTCTAGCAAGTAAACGGGTTTCTTTGCATAATTTGAATATTAGGACAATGCTAACGTTTACATTTCACAGATAAGACATACATGACATATTCATAATTCCCGGGAAGTTCTACAGAATTTGAGGTTGGCTGCAAAAGGGACATAGTATCTTTAACATATTGTGAAGAACCCGCAACTTGAAACTTCGTTTCCATCTAATTTTCCCTCCAAGTGTCTCTGATTCTTTGTTTCACGTCATCATTATCCAAAATACATCAGATTATTTGTTTTCCAATTCTTGTACAATTAGACATATTTTGTTGGTGAAAGCCTCACACTAACAAATATATCATCCAGATTTTTAAAATATTGTGAACAAGCGAGAAAACAATGTATTCAGTCATTTCGTTGCCAGGAATCATCCTGATTTATCGATTTTGTGAAAAGTAAAGCAAACGAACAAAAAAGACAGGTTGCTATCCCATGAATTTTACTTTGTATTATTATATTTCTTCCTACAGATAAGATAAACATACCCTATCCCGCATAAATACCTATGGTTCTCCTTTTATCGAATAGTTACGTATTTTCATCCACTTCCTTGTATGAAACCGAACATTTTCACAGCAAAATGACCTACATGAAATGTAAAGCTCACCTTAATACCAGTATGTTGCAATTTAAATCTTCGCAATGTGAAGTCAGAAAGAATGCTGATCATCTAGACGCTCTTTTTATGATTTAAACTGTTTGAAGAAGCACAATCCATCCAACTTCGTGTAACATGTGTACCAGGTGCCAATAAAAATGGCGTCTATATTTGTATACCAGCCAACGTCAAACTGATGCTCACTTGGCACAAATTTGCAAACAAATTCCTTCCCCAAACACATAATGTAGGATCATTGAAAAAGGATGTGCTTTGTTGCTTTTTGTGAATAGATTAATATGAATATGAATCATAGCAGTCTAGCATAGGATGAATGCATTCACGTTCCTTATTATGGCTATAGAAGCGTTACAGGGGTTCGGGGGGGGGGGGGGGTGAGGGGGGAGAAGTATGATTATGCCGACCCCCCTTGAAACAAATCTTTTTATTTCGCTAGGAAGAATTATTTACAATGCAGATATCCAACCGTAGTTAGACAAAGTTCTTCAGGGATATATTTCGGTCACAAGACTTTGTAATACCATTCTATCCAATGTAGAAGGATTAAGTGATTAGGAATTTTTTTTCATGAGGGTAAGAAAGATCATGAAACTCTATCAACTCTAGATTACGTGTTCTTTCATGTTGAAGTCAACGTAAGAAGAGAGAACTTTTGCTAATGCAAGGCCTTTACTGTGTAACAATAGTAGCAGATCAGTTGAAGTATACATAATATTTGTAAGTACATTATCTGTATGATTTGGCTTAAAATTAATATTTCTCTTTCTTTCGCTACAGTTGTGTTCAGTTCTTTTATGGTATTTAATCTCTTGCACAAGTGTTCATAGAGTATTTGATTTTGAAGTCATTTAGATGTATCAATACCAATACCTACATTCTGCTTAACGATTGAGAGTGACTTTACATAATCATCTTCTAGCTTCAGGTTTCAGGTTCCAGGTTTTCAATAGTACTTAGCATAAAGTACCGACGCACTAATTTGCTCGTAATCCAGGGTACTAGTTCTTAACAACAAAGTATGCTTATGAATTTCACTGTGAAACCATTCAAGCAAAGGGCTGGAGCAGGACAGTAAGCACAACATTGATTGAAACCAGCAAACTTGACAACTTAGACATAATGACCAGGAAGTTGTAATGAATGGAGACTCCGTCTCGAAAGAATTTCCCGAGGAAAATATATTCAAGATTAACTTGGCTTAACAAAAAGGAATGTAACCCTCTCCAGCCATCAAATCCATCTACAGCTGTCCTTATCAATGCACAGTTTCCCTCTAGTATTCCAAATATTACGAAATGTTACGCAACGCCGTCTGCTTCCCGAAGTTCTCTGTTCACTCGGTCGTAAAAATATGCAGGCATCGAGCTTTGAAGACATGCGTGGCACCGACAAATTAGGTCATGTTCAGTGAAGATGTATTTAGCTTTAACATATAAAATACAGAATTCCCGACATATGACCAATGAAACTTTATTTTGGTTATCAAATGTTTTTTTCGTGCTGGGATAGCTCTACTGAAGACGTAACCATTTCAACCAGCAAAATCGACCAAGGAAATCGTGAGTTGGAGCGAATGTAAGGTTTTCATCATCAGGATTTTATCATCTAATTATTGACATTTTCCGAAAATTTCCGAAATTTGTATATAGCTAGGAAGGTAGTCCAAAGGTTTATCTCCCTAAAGAACTAAATGAAATTGTGTTATATGTTTGCGCATTTGTTGGACGATGGTTAGAAGTTGTCAATTCATCACCACTTTTCGCCCCAAGTACGGGCCGGCAACGCATAAGCCGCCGTGCTCGCTGGCCTGGGCTGTTGGTGGAACGGGAGGACTTAGAGCCACTAGGGAGCTGTATGATCTCGGAGAGGGATTAAGGGGATTACGGTAGGGGAAACAAAAGACGCGCGGTGCCACGGATGGCTTCAAAGGGACCTCTTGGACGGGATCTCCATTCATTACAGCTTTACTTTAATGTTCTATGCTACATAATTATATCGTCATGACTGTGTAATATGAATTGTCTCCTGATAAATAACAAAACTGTGTAACTTATTTCAATGGTATTGCATGTTTATGTTTGTTAAATTAAATACCGCACACAAAAAAGAAAAAAAACACAGGCATACTAACAAGCAAGATATAATCTCATGCAGCAACAATAATAATAGTGAACATTTATAATGCGCCATGTCTACCAAAAATGACACTCCTGGCACAGTTGTGTGGAAAGCATTACACTTTAGCTTGTCCAATTATTTTATTTCTTAAGGCTTGTTAAGATGTGGCTGAATGCAAAGGGAAATCCAAACTTAATACCAAACTTTGAATTAATTTTTTTTTTTAACTGATGCATAATACTGCATAAATGTAATCTAATAATATGATCCCTTTCTTTCATGAGTTATTGTAAAATCGATATGCAAAACAGCTTGTTTGAAAAACATGTAAATATTTCTGAATGAATATGGAGAATGTATGGTAATGAAAAGTACATAATATATTTCTGTAAGTTGAAGCAGCATTTCCATCATGAATATTCATGGAGAAGAGGAGCAATATTTGTTCCTGGCACAATCTTTAGGAGTGGTTCCAGGGGGAAAAGTATCCACTGGAACTCTCCTTTCTATGTTTGCCTTTTTGTGTACGCTTCATATAAATCATAAAGTTTTGGATGAATGAACCCCTATATTTGCCATATAGTTTTTACTTTCATTTTTTTCTTCACGGGATTTTGGAGGAATTGAACCCCTCCCGCAATTTATAAAATCTCGGAGTCGCCCCCTGATCTTGCAAACAATACTTGATTAAAAGTAATAATCCATTTCTGTACAATCTACATAGCCTTATTAAAGCATACACTGTTGTGGTGCGAGACAAAGTGTATGTTCTGGATGATCATGTCCAAACATGTGTCTTATGAAAATATTCTGTAGAAACATTGAAATATATCAAACATGCATAACATAATCTGAATTTTCACTCTTATTTTGTTCTTTGTGCGAACATTTTTTTTTAATTGAGAGGGGGTGGGTTGAGGGAAAGAGTAAGAGAGACGATATGGCATAAATAAAAGAAGGATATAGCGGGAGTTATGGAAATAGAAGGTGAAAGGATAAGGTAAATATTGGATAAGGAATTAAATAGAGAGGGGAGAAAAAAAGGTAAGGAAGAAGGAAAGAGTGAGAGAAAGGAATAACGAGAGAAAGAGGGGATGGGAAAGAGAGAGAGAAAGAGAGAGAGAAATAGAGGACAAAACAGAAAAGAGAGGGGATAATGAGGGAAAGAGAGAATGGAGGAAAATGAGTATTTCTATGTGAGAGAGCTAGAGGGGGCGAGGAAGTAAAGAGAAATGATAACAGATAATCATAATGAGAACATTTAAAGATATGTACAATGTTGTAGCATTGATCAAGCCAATGAGGGAGCACCAGTTAAATGGGGGGGGGGGGGGGGGGGGAGGGGCGTAACACGGACCTAGGGAACATGCCATTCACAAACAAATGCTCATAAATGTATTTCTCATGATTCGTTATAGCAAGGAGGTTCTGTGTCTCTCTCTTCATTACCACCTCTGTCTCTCTGTCTTTAATTCATCAATCACTGATGTCTTAACAAGATGCCCATCTTTGACAAAATTATTATCATCTTCGAGAACTGTGTCAAGTGTCTGTTTTGTATTCTTTGTTGTTTTCATGTCATTTTGCCATGTTTTCTCAATTTCCGCTATCTTTTTCTCTTTCTCTTTAGCGATGTTTTGAATGTCTGTTTGAAGGCTATGCTTTTTTTTGTCGATTGGTTTTCGTCTTTTCTCTGCATTTTTACGGTTCAGTTCAAGTCGATTCTCTCTCTCCTCATCGTTCTTTCCGATCTCTTCTTTGATCTTTTGAATCTCCTCTTCAAGATTTTGATTCTTCTCATCAATTTCCTGGTTGATTTTTGCTGCGTCCTCCTTCTCTCTGTCTTCGTCTGTTTGGATCGCCTCATTGATTACCGAATCAACTTCATTTTTCAAAGCATGCAGAAGGTTGTCGGTGTGTATCCTACACCATTGAATCTGATCTCCATAATTTCGACAAAGTTGTAGTTTTTCCGTTGCCATTTCTCTCAAAGTGTTTAGACTCCATAGAGATATATACTACTAACACTAGAGGGCGTACTCGCTCAAATTAGTTTATGCAGTGACTGTAGTCTGTCTACCCGGGTTGTCTCATGACAAGCCATCGCAGCTCCTGCAGCAGCGGAGCGCGCCAGTCCACGCCCGACGGGCTGGGGCAGGCATGGGTTAAGGTTCTGGGGATGGTGATGGGAAAATTCTGCTGCGCTGGAGTCGCTCGCAACTCCAAGAGCCAGAGAGTCCAACTCGGAAATATAACTCCATGAGCTTGATTCTATTAAAGAAAAGTCTAGAATAAAATGATATAATTAATTTTATCTTATCTAATTTCAAGATAAAAATCAAATGTCAACTTCTTTATATTTTAACTAAACTAGACTCTAGATCTAAACTCTAGTCTCTAATTTCTAAAGCCCGAAAGGCAAAGCCAGGTTAGACAGAAATAACCGTCTGATATGGGTCATTTCTTTAATAAAACTTACATTTGTTGACATTCCCCATAATATAATCAGAGGTCTAGTGGAGCCAGACGCAGTCTCAGTAGAACAACCGACGATATAGAGAGACTGAAGCTTTTGGTCTAAGCCCGGCTAGCCTGCCATATTTCACATCACAGGAGTTATCCAACTAGGCTAGGCTAGCCTAAAAATCCCACCGCACACTACACTATTTCTATCAAATTTGCTTATGACTTGCTTACATCATTATTATTTTATTTATTTGGCTGGAAGCTGCTTTCAGTTTCAGTCTTAAAAATCACATGAAATAGCATGAATAGTAGAACAATTGTCATGTTATGAGAAAAAACTCATTATTGTTTCCATTTGCTTTTATTGTAATGCAGGAATACACTCAAGAGAGGAAAGGATGTTACACACCCCATCTCATTCCTAGAGCTGTGCCTACTGTCTTTCCTGGACATCCTCCCTATAAACAAACCCATGGCTCAAGACTCCCAGCAAAACCATGTACAACATCCGAAAGTGTTCCCGTGCCTCCAAAGAAACCCTATGACATTACAAAAGAACATGACTATTCTTTT